GAAAGAGGAGGGCAGGTCACGAGGAGCGTAAGGCCAAAGCGAAAGACGAAGAATGTTTTTTATTTTGTTTTTAAATCCGAGTGAGAGACGTGATAACAAACCGTAGTTCAGTTTGTGTCATGCTGGGCTACTCCGGGGGTGCCCTTGCTTTTGAATCTCAAACGGAGCGTAATTTTCGAATTTTGTTTGTTTCGGGATTTCTTAAATTTATCCTCCGCCCACCGACTGTGTCTTATGGGTCCTAATTCGGAGTTTCCCGATGAAAAAGAATTCACTTAGCAAAACAAATAGTTTACTATACAGAATCTTTTGCATTCCTCAGCGACCTAGAAATCATGATGATTGGGCTGAGTTCAATCCTCATTGTGGCATGCGTGTGCCTTACGGCCATGGCCGACTCACCCCCTGAGTGCACAGAACGACTCAACAGCGTTGCCAAGCTCAAAGATCTCTACTGTGATGCGCATGTCGGTGAGTAACATTTTTAAACCGAAATTAATTTGAATTTTGGAATTGTTGTTTATTATAATTCAGCGTGATTTACACCCGGTCAGTAGCCTACGTCAATGATATCTGCGAGTATCTTCTTGTTCTCTTCTTCTTGATCGTATCATACTTGGAAGTCCGGTATCCATCATATGTACTGAGCTGTCCTGACCTCAGTCCCTCTGTTCACCCGTATAGTACGGTATAGCTTCTCCCGCAGTGTCAATGGGGTAGGCCAGCTCTCCAGTCTCAGCTAGGCCTTGTGTTCCCTGCACTGCTGGAAGGTGTGTTCCATAGTTTAGCCCGCTTCCCCACACTGGCATTTTGGTGATTGTGCCTATTTTCTGTAAATGGAAAGAAGACGTTTTGCTCTCGGTCTCACCTAAAAAAGTGTGATTTCTAATAATAATCGAAACTGTTTCATTACCGTCCATAACATTTATATTATTTAGGCTGCCGGCTGCGCGGGTTGCTTTCACCCTACCTATCACTGCCAACCCCTGCAACGAAAAAGACAAAGACACTTAGATCTATCGTGGGAATCGAACTTTTGTCTTTTTGTTTCTTTTTGTGTTTTTGCTTTTGTGTTGTTGTTGGGTTTGGGTTGT